TTTTGTTTTGCATAAAGTTATAAGTAAGAGTGAGAATAACATTTTTTAGACAGTCAAACTGATACTGACTTAAGTAAGTTTACTATTTAGTTTTATTTTCAGTTAGAATTTTATTTTATGTATTTAACATAAAAAATAAACAAGATTGTTATATGTTAACACGTAAATGTGCGTATGCTTCAGTAATTTTATACTTATCCGTATTTGTATGTATACTTTCTCTTAGAAAAATAATTACGAATAGAAAAAACAAAACATTGTGCTGAAAGTAGTCGAAAAATAAAAAAATTATTTTTATCTATGTTACTTTGTTTAAAGTGTTATGCTTCTTTTTAAAGGTATTTGAGTACACACACATACACACACACATATAGAGGGGGTTGGTATATATATATATATATATATATATATATATATATATATATATATATATATATATATATATATATATATATATATATATATATATATATATATATTCTTTGTTTCAAGATACTTTTTTGATAACAAGTAAAATTGATTAAAGATGGGGTTAGAGTTAATAAGCTTGGGGTGAGAAGCAAAATATTTCAAATTTAATAAACGTCACCGCCCCCGCCCCCTCCCCCTCCGTTTGTTAAACATCTAAGAGTATGTTTTTGAAAATATGTCATTGTTTTATAACTTTAGAAAAGTATATACTTGATTTAATTTAGTCTCTTGTGATTTAATTTTGTTTTCTTTTTTTATTATTTTTTAAAAAAGCAGAGGTTTATTAAAGTTACTTATTTTTGTATTTTCTTTACTTTAGAGTAGTAGTAAGAAATTTTATTTAAAAAGATCACAAGATTTTTTACGTCTGTTTGTTATATACAATAGTAATACCATTGGTAATATGCTTCATGATAACAGTGAAATTGAAATAAATTATATTGGGCTTGAAGTAGTAATTAGTCTAAATGCTAATAGACAACTTGAAAATAATTGTCGAATCGAAAGAGGTAGAGTAAGGCAAAATGAAATTAATTACTGTCAAAATATAAAAACGCTGCAAGGCAAGCAGAAATTATGTGAACCCTAATGAGGATAATGTGGTTTGGCGAGACCACCGTCAAAATAAAAGAAATGGAGCTAGGCGAGATGAAATTAATCATCTACAAAATGCAAGAAATACTGCTTAGAGAGCAGAAATGAGTTTAAACCCTAATGAGAATAATGTGTTAAGGCAAGTTTATTCCTCAAAATGAAAGAGATAGAGCAAGACAAAATGAAATCAGTTGTCGACAAAATATAAGAAATGCTGCTCGGTAAAATGAAATTAATTTTGAACCCTAATAAAGATAATGTGGTTGAAAAATTAGTAATAATCGTAGTCGAAATGAAAGAAACGGAGCTAGGTGAAATGAAATTAATAATGAAATCTACAAAGTGTACAAAATGCAGCTAGACAAGGAAGAATACATTGTATAGCAAGAAGTAATAATATTTCAGGTTTTAATATTTTAGGAGAATTGAACCAGATCTGTCAACATTGTGAGGTTAAAATTTTTCCTAATGAAGCTCATTTTCTATGTTTCCATAATAGAAAAATAATTTTGCCTCCACTTTTACCACATCCGCAAGCTTTACAAGTTTTTTTTACAGGGAATTATATAAATCACAATTCCATTATGAATTTTTTTAAATATATTAGAAATCATAATGCGTGTCTTTCTTATGCTTTATTCACAGCTAATGTGGTTCAACTTAGCAACCATGGTCCAACGTGTTTTAGAATATGTGGTCAACATTTTCATTTTGTAGGTAATCTTAGGTCAGATCAAGGTATTCCTCCCATATGTTGTCAGCTGTATATCTATGGCGCTGATCTTTGCTCGCATGATTTAATGATTAATTTGCAAACTATAATTAGTGAAGTAAATCCATTTGTTGATTTTAAAAAGATATTTGTAATGTAATCAATAGCCAATCGTGTACTTTTAGTGCTTGTCAACTTTTAGTGCTTGTAGAGCTAGACTTTTGAAACTATTCAAGCAAGTGACTTGCAGTGCATGTAAACTTATACTAGCTGGCTCTTTTTTATAACTAAAATGCTATTTAAAAAAAAAATGGTGTAATGGTTGCCATTCTTGCCAGCTAAGCGTTGTACTTAGAAAAGGTGTTACAGCAGGTGGATAGCAGGACAGAGGTGTTACTGTTGTTTATCTAGATTCTGTTCCCTAATCTTTTATAGTTTATAGAAAACACATGTATGTTAATATTTAGTGTATTATAATATGATTATACGCATAGCAAATAGCAATAGCAAATAGCATAACATGTTATGCTATTTGCTATTGCTATTTACTATACGTAATTGTCGTGATGTACTTTGTTGTAATGTTTTGTATTGATAAACAGCTTGGCTTACCTTTCGTTAGTGCCTATCGTTAAAAATCATTATAGGTATTTTTATTAATCTACCTAACTGCTTTTAATCTAAATACCAAAAGTTAAGATAATATTTGATATTATTATCCAATTACTTAAATCTCAAATTTTTTTTTATTTTATTTTATGTTGTGTTATTAATGATTTTGCTCTTCGAATGAGATATTATAGTTGGTTTTTCAAAAAAGAAAACGATTTCAAGATCGATCCAGTTGCCAAAATGTTTTCATAATAAAGTAATTTTTTTAAATATATATTTTTAGAGATAATTTTGATTTTTAATATTAATAGTTTTCCACTACTTTGGAGTTATGTAATATTTTTAATACATGTTAAATCATCGCCCCTCAGTCATCAGTGAAAAATATTTTAAACTGTTATAATATGGTTTTCTTAATCATAGGTTGTGCTAGGCCTCATAATAGGTTGTGCTAGGACTTATAATAGGTTGTGCTAGGCCTTATAATAGGTTGTGCTAGGCCTCATAATAGGTTGTGCTAGGCCTCAGTCCTGTGTGGCGACTATTATTACTAATTTTTAAAGTACGTTTATTACAAAAGTCTTTAACCTCAATTGTTTTCAAAGAAAATTGATAAATATTGTGTTTTATTTGTTTGTTTTTTTGTTTTTTGTTTGTATTATTCATACAATTATTAAATATCATTTACTTGATTTAAATAAATTTGTTTTAAAGATATATGAATTTAAGACATTCTGTTTTTATGGGTTTGTTGATAGATTTTTCAAAAATACAAGTTAAAATATATATTTTTTTAGATATATCTGTTTTCTAACTTTTTCAGCCTATTACCTATAAAAAAATTTTGATTAAAACTACTTCAAAATTAAGACGAAGGCAAGGCAAAATATATTCCAGAAACTTTTCGCTAAATATTTTCTGTATAAGTAAGTATAACTCGGATAAATGCTGAAGCAAATACATGGTTGGCATACGTTAACACCTCTAAGGTAGATCTTTATATTCGTTTACCGTAATTTTTTTTTAATTTCTGCCGCATTTTTAAATAAAATAGATATAGGTAATAGAATAAAACAAAGTTTCAAAACTAAATAGTTAAAAACACACACACTTATGGAAATGCTTTTCATGTTATAAGAGCCTAAAGTTTCAAGTCAATTTTTATATATATTGACTTTGTTATGCTATAGGAAAAAATAACAGCAACGCAATAAGGAAACTTTAAATTAATAAATCTTTAATTAACATTATATCTCTAATGAAGCTGAGTTTTACTTTAGACCATTTTCTGCAACTTATTAAAAACGAGTAAAAAATAAGTGGAAGGTGTGATTCAGATCATGACCCGTTTTTAAGCCGGACTTTTGAGTGTTTTATGCAGGGCTGTGGAGTTGCGGAGTTGCGACAATTTTACCGGAGTCGGAGTCGCTAAAAAATATCGCGACTCCGACTCCGATAGTAAAATTTCTTGGTATTGCACGTGCATGTACAAAACATTCAATTAACCTTATGTTCATACTAAGCCTCAAAGAATGTTTCATAAATTTTTCAAAAAAGAAATTTCAACTTACCGGGCAATATTTTTTAAAGAATTCAAAGAATTTTTCAAAAATTTTGCTTTGGAGTTGGAGTCGGAGTCGGAGTTGTACTCAAAAAATTTCAACAATTGGAGTCGGAGTCGTTACTTTTTTTTTACGACTCCACACCCCTGGTTTTATGAATTGATTATGATTTTTTTTTTTAATAAGTTATATATTTAGAAAAATAGATATAAAAATTATTTTTTAAATTGTATATAAAAAAAATAAAAGTGGTCTTAATTAAATATTCATTTTAGATCATTTGATAAGCATAGATTACATTCATTATCATGAAAAACTTTCCCTGTTTATATTGTCAGACGAAAGGTTTAATTTAAGAAAATACTCTAAATAAACATTGCGCTTATAAAAGTAATTGAGGCGTTACATTTTTATTTTTGATTTATTATGTCATATATAGGTTATATATATATATATATATATATATATATATATATATATATATATATATATATATATATATATATATATATATATATATATATATATATATATATATATATATATATATATATATATATATATATATATATGTATATATATATATATATATATGTATATATATATATATATATATATATATATATATATATATATATATATATATATATATATATATATATATATATATATATATATATGTATATATATATATATATATATATATATATATATATATATATATATATATATATATATATATATATATATATATATATATATATATATATATATATATATATATATATGTATATATATATATTATGTTTAAATGTAATAGTCTGATTATTATGATTGTAATGTAAATAATGCTAAAAAAAAATTTTATTACGCTGAGAAATAAGATATCTAATTAATTTTTGATGGTATTTACTCATGAACAATTACTTTTATTATTCAAATGCATTTTCAAAAAACGTTTGTAAATACCGATCACGTAAAATGATTAAAAGTTAAATATCACAACTACTTAATGCCACTATTGGTCACCTTTAAAAAAACTGGTTCTTATCACAACTTTGTTTGTGTGACAGCCCAGCATTTAAAGTACAAAATTCAAACTAGTTTTTCTGGAAAAACAGAAAAAAAAAAGTTTAGTCTGGTCTCGATTACAACTGACCATCATAATGACGTAATAAACAATTGTTTATTACGCAATTGACTTAAGTCAATAATATAAAAACAGTGGTATGATGATAAAAATAAAATAACTAAATTAAAGTTTATAGTTTTACTTTGGGGTATCCAACAAATCAAGAAATATCGCGTTTATATATAACTATCAAAAAGACGGCGTTATATACTGTAACATTCTTCTGAATCAATAAAAAAGTATGAACAAATAATGTGTTTTTTTTTTTTTACTTTTACTTTTTTTTTTCTGTTAATTTTGTATTAGATACTAAAGTGTCAAGTGCCATTTTAAACAATTTCTATAAAAAAAAAGCTTGCACTTGGGCCTTTTAGGCCTTTTTTATTCTCAGACCTCCGCCATCCCAAATTTTTGTAAGGTTTCCTCATTAGGCATAGGTATCAAAAACTTAAAATATTATTATATTCATTCAAAACTTATATATTATTAATAAATTTTATTACTAATTAATTAGTAATATAAAGAAATTTTAAGTTTTTGAATTAACATTATATAGAAGCGTTGCAAGGTTTTTTGAATTAGCTCAGAATTTTACGCATTACGTCATTAAGTCAAAAGTTAATGTTAGTTCATATTAGTTTCAAGTTTGCTAGTTCAGCAACTAGAGAGTTTGAATACTCTTCTAAATTTTACTTCTAGGGCTTTGACCGTCTGAAAATTTTACTTTTAATCATAGATCCTTTTTCAGATGAAAAAAATTGAGAGAAAAAATTAAAGTTTGATTTATGCGTAAAATCATTTACATTTACAACTTGCCATAAAACCTTGCTCAACGATTTTGAGCATGATTTCATAGCAACCTTTTTAGCAGACTTAGATTTTTCCTAAAAATTTTTGTAGATGTGCTTATACTTTTTTAATCTTTTGTTTAGATCTTTTAACATGAAATACACAATCTTTCTCGTTGTTTTGGCATTGGTTTTTGTTTTTCTCAAACACGGAACTGGACAACCTGTTGCTTATGAACGGATCAATGAAGCAGCATTAGCAAGACACAGGATAGCCAGGGAAGAAAAACCTGATCCATTAGATTGTAATAACTGTAGAACATTCGCATGTGGCCAGGCATGTGCTGCCTTGAATAAGCAAAAGGGAAAATAACTTTTTGTAATTTCTTTTGTTTCAATGTAAAAATCTTTTTCGGTTTTATTTGTTTTATTTTTGATGGAGTATTTCTTGACTTTTATATATAACAGGTATCTACTATGGAGTAGATGGATAGTAATATGAACGACAATCCAATCCAGAAGGTTTTTACACTTTGTTGTAAGGTCGAAACACTAAAATCGTAGTTTTTAAAAACAATTTGTCCTTTGATATATTAAGCTTATTATTAGGATTCTCTTTTTGATATTTCTTAAATCGTAAATGGGAACCAGAGACTGTTTTTTCAGGCTCAAACTTAAGAATTAACCATATTATTTATATAGCGGAGGGGGAAATATATTCATAATGGCTGCTTTATATTTTACTATATAAACAACAAAATAAATTTCGAAAAGTTTAAAAATAGTTGTGAGGGGTTAATTATTGTTTTAAATCAGTTAATTTACGAATAGTTTTTAAAAAATAAATTTAAATAATTTCTGAGTAAAATTTAAAACCAAACTTTGACAAATTAAACTTTATTTCACTTCAATTACGGATGGTTTATTTCTTGGTAAAATTTTAAAATTAAGTTTTAAAACAAAAGAAGTAACTTAGAAGTATAAGAAACTTTTATTTTAACATGAAAATTATTTTTTGTGAATTCACTTTATATATAAATTTCGATTGAAATCTATCTAAATAAAGTCCTCATAGAGTTTTTTTATACAAAAGAATTAAATCTAGATTCTTACTTAATAATAAAGAACAAAAAATGCTGTTTGTTATTTATTAACCTATTTATACCCAGAAAAAATTTTCGTAGTGGATTTGCAGTAGTCCTATATAAGCTCTAAGTAACCAATGAGCGAAACCTTAGTAAAAAGCTCAAAATGTCTATAAGGTCCAATGAAATTTCCCTATAGAATGTTTGCTGAGTAGTCATCTTTCATACACAATTTTGGATGGGCAAGTATTCACAAAATAAAATTTAGAAAATTAAAAAATTTACAAAACCATCTATGCGAGTCGATAACTTATTTAAATAAGTTAAATTATGGGTTCAAATAAATATTGGTTCAGAACGTATTCTATTAGGTTGCATCTTTAGGGCGCCGAGCAATTTAGGCCGAATTAGCAATTAACAAAATTATTAACAATTTAATTCGTCGAAAATCCATTCTAATCAGATAAAAAATTACAAAACTTCTCATCCTTGGAGACTTCAACTACTCTGAAATCGTGTGAAACAGTTCAGGTAGGTACTATACTGGTACTAATATACAGGCAAGCGCATTTCCTAAAATTGTTCAAGACTGCCTACTTACTCAGTTTGATCAGTTCATCAAAAAAACCCGTAAAAAAACCTTGTAAAACAGGCGTTTAACAAAGCCACAAGCAAAATCAAAAAACTTGTTTATGAAGTTCTCTACACGCACGAACAAAGAATCATAAGTAAATTCAAGGATAATCCTAGACTACTGTATGGCTTAATTAACAAAACTAAAAATTGTAAAGATTGTAATTGAGCTCTTGGAAATAGCGACGGTATGCAACTTGTTGAACAAACAATAGCGACGAGATGTGCAACTTGTTGAACAAACAGTTCTCTGCAAGTAGCAAGGATCTCCCGGGTGATCCTTCTATTTTTCAGCTACACACGGATGAGATTCTCAGCATAAATGAAAATATCTTTCCTCAAACTTTGATTTGCGTTTCTAAAAAAACTAAACAAACTGGACCACTAGGCATTGATGGATACATCCTCTTGGAAGCCTTATCCGTACCACACCTTGCCTTTATCATTTATATATAAAAAATCTTTCACTACCGGTGCTGTTCCAACTTGCTGAAAGCAACTCAACGTAACTTCTATTTTTATGAAAGGTAACAGGAGAAACCCAGCAAACTACCGTCCAATCTTACTTATTTCTGTTTCTTACTCATCTTGTTTGGAGCCTCTTCTCTTTGTGATCTCATTGGTTGGAGGTCCTCAGTGGAGTTCCACAAGATTTTATACTGGAGCCTCTCCTCTTTGTGATCTTTATTAACAACATGCCAGGTCTTACTCGTCACGTTTGTAAGCCGTTAGCCACCAATGCGAAACTAATAGTGGTTATAAAAAACACCTCCAAATATCAGACACCACAATGACATTGACCGCCTTGTTGAATGGGTCCATACCTGGAGCATGAGTTTTTACAAACAAGTGCAAAGCTATATTTTTTGAAAAAAGAATTAGCAACCGCTTTAATACCACTTATTTTCAACCTATCGGGTTTGCACATAACCTTCACCATAACAGACGACCTTGACAACAACCACAGCCTTGGCAAGACCACCTCTGAGCGCGACCTCGGCATCATCACCAACTCAAATTGGCGGGATCAAGTCGCACACTTTGTTACCAAGACTAACTTAGCTAGGTATATTAAAAGGAGTCTTTCTCTTTTGGGATATTATTCACTTTTTTACATACTTGATACAACTTATGTACAACCATATCTTAAGTCTATTCTTTCGCGAGGACCCATTATTATTGCCGAGACATTGATGCATTTGAAGCAGTGCAAGAATAAGCCACTAAGTTTGTGCTTCATCTCAGGCCTCTAAAGTATTGTATGAAGCACTCAAAGACTAAACGCTATAAATATTCAATCTATAATCATCCAATACTTTAAGATATACCACCGCCTCAACAATGTCGAGCTCCTGAGACCAAACCAGTCAGCTGCAGCATTAAGTGTGCAGGGACCTACAAAAAGCCTCCATGGACTTTTTGTAGTTTTTGGGCACAAAAACTGCAAAAAAACAATTGTCGTTGGGCATGGTTAGCTACTGTTAACTGTGGCTAACAAAAATTGTTCTACACCTATCGTGTCGTACCTGACTGGAACTTACTCACTAATTCCATCATATCTGCCGCATCATTGAACAAATTTAAAAAACTACAAGATACATATTTTTCTGAACGTTTATTAAAAGAAAAAAACTGACGTCTATTATAGCAGAGCTTCATTAGTTGCCCTTCTTGCAAATGCTTAAACATTTGTTATAAATTCCTTATATTATCATTACTAATGATTCGCAAGTAACAAAACCATTGGATTATTTAATAATGACTCCAGACCCGTTATTTGAAGATAAAGTTAACCCTAAAAAATAAATATATTTGTCAGCAAAACAAAAATTAACTTTTAAATGGCTTGACGACGGTTTATATTTTTTTATTACTGGTAGTGCTGGTTGTGGTAAAAGTTACTTGGGGTTACAATTATTGTAACCCCAAGTAGCTTAACTTTATCCAAGGCAAAAATCTTGTCCTAACCAAGCATTAAAAATGACTTGTTTGAAAATTTGTGAACAACTATAAATAATTGAAATTTACGATCATATGATTAAATTTAAAAAATTCAATGGCGTTTAATGTTTTATTTTGCAATCGTAAAATAACATAATTCTTTAAAAATTGTTACTAACATAGAGAGTATGCAAAAATTAAGACAATGGAGTTTTTAATAAACAAAAAAAGTTATTTATAAATATATTAAAAAATATTGGCCCAAGCATTGATCATTGAGGCAGTAAAACTTCTAATCATTCAGAAAATGATGGACCCAATATAACGCTATGTTTGCGATCACTTAGGTATGATAGTAAAAGTTTAAAACTTCTATGAGAAAAACCATTGTCTTCTAATTTACTCCTTAAGCTTACTAAGACCAGGCCCGGCGCTAGACATTCCGAAGGTAGGTGAAAAAAATATTATGGCGCCTTTATAAATCAAAGTTTATATTTTCGACTTAATTTAATACAACTCTTTTGATAAAATAATTTATTTCGAAAATATTACTTTCCGAGCTTTCTTTTCCGAAAATTTCAACCGGATATCTTCAATATTTAAATCAGCGGCAATTTTATTTTCAATGGAAGTCATTGCAAGGTTGTTCAACCTGTCCTGGCCCATTGTCGATCTTAAATAATTTTTGATAATTTTTAATTTCGAAAAAGATCTCTCGGCGCTACCTACTGTTATTGGTAATGTAAGAAGAATTCTCAAAGCAATAAATACATTTGCATAGATTTTATTCAAACCATTTGCGTACAAATATTTTATAGCATTTTCAGGATCCAAATTTTCAGTAAAATGAGAAGAAAGAGACATTAATTCAAAACTTAGTTCCTCGCCAGAAATATCTTTTTTTCCATTTTCAGATTTTTTTTTAACGCGATGCAATGAGATTTTAAATTATCTTCCTTGACTGTTGAGAGCTTTTTAATATCAAATAAAAAGCTAAAATGTGCAATACCAGCATTGAAATCATTAAATCTCTTTTTTATTGGAATAGTCGCACATTCAACTAATTTATTAAAAACATCTTGTTTATACTTTTCTTTTGGACATAACTGTTTTTCAAAGTTTTGTTCAGGTTCATCAAAGAATCTCTTTCTTTTTCTTACTCTTGAAGCAGATTCTGCTGCAAAACTTTCTTCTACCTTTAAAAAAGAAGCAAGTTCTTGTGCAATACACACAACAAAGTCAAATTTTTCCTGTTTGTAATTTTCCTTAAAAAAATTAATCGTTTTTTCCATTGCTTTTAAAGCCTCTGAAATATTCGTTGAAGCTGCTTGAAATTGTTTGCTAGTCAAATTAATTTCGAACAAAACTTTATGCCAAATTACGATCGAACACAAAATATCGAAGCTTGTTATTTTTAAAGCAATAGACTCTGCTGTGATTTTTGCAATTGTTTCATTAGCGGTCTTAGCCGCATCTTGCAAAGCTTTATAAATTTTTGGCATTTCAAATCGAAGTGTTTTTACAGCATTGATGTGGCTTTCCCATCTTGTATCACTTAACGGTTTAACTGTTAAAGATGGACACTTTGATTGCAAAATTAACCATCTTTTTGTTGAAGCAGAAAAAAAATTGTAAACTTGATCAATTATATTGAAAAACATAGCGATTTTAGGTGAACATCTCACAGAATCAACAAGTGCCAGATTTAATGTGTGACTGCAGCATGGAATATAAGCCGCTCGGTTGTTTTTTTTTTTAGAAT